TCTGAAGCAAAGTTTTTAAAATTAAATCATCGCTTTGAAGCAAGACTTTAAAAACAAGTCGTCACTTTGAAGCAAAATTTTAAAAAATGAAGCATATCTTCGAAGCTTAGCTTTAAAATCGAGTAGTCGCTTTAGTATTTAGCAAAAATGATGAAATATTATTTTAAGATAAGTCGCCGCTTTAAAGCTACGCTATAATCATTAATTAGTGGCTTTGAAGCTTAACGAGATTTAATAACCACCCAAAGCTCAGCTTTCAAAATCTCACAAGTTTAAATCCACAAGGATCGACATCAAAAAAATCAAAGTGAGCAAAAATAGCAAATATTTCAAAAAAAAATCTTGCATGTCATTTTAGATTATATTTCAATGATGTGCTTGCGATATGCATCGTAAGAGTATCTTAGCAACAAAAACATGCTATATGCTATGTGAAAGGAAATAAATATTTTTATGTCATTTGATAAACAGGAATGGATGGTGCTTCTCATATTTATTTTTTTATAGAAAAAATAAAGCAAGTAGGAAAAGTGGTTGTTGAGGAAATTGTCAATAGATGTGGATTGAAGCGTCGTTTTTAGGGAATTTGTATTAATTTTGCGGAATTTTTTGATATTTGCAATGAAATTGACACATTGCCTGCATCATGTGCCGTCGTTCAGAAGAGTAAAAGCAAGCTTTTTGATGCGTGAGTGCACTCAGTGCTTTTGACTCGAGTTGCAAGTTTAAATATCAAAGGAATCAAAATAAAAACTCCAGAAATCATCAAAAACATTCCCAACAATTATGAAGGATGCACGTAAAGAACCATTGACAACAAAGTAGCAGAAAAAAATACCAAAGCAAATAATATTTCCTCAAAGTAGAAAAGACGTAAACATAATTTGATATTTTTTTCTCAAAAGATTCTTTTTTTTTCACATAACGAGCTTCGTGTTATTGAAATGAGATATGTTTATATATGTTCAAAATTGCGGAGAATAAATTGATAATAGATGTGATGTTATCGTCATGTGAAGATTGTCAACGTAGATTGATATTATGTTGCTCAATTCCGTTCATAGTGATATGATATGAATGGTTTGGGGGTACTTTGGGGGTTGCTGCTTGAAAATCAGATTATTAGAAACCTCCTTAATTGGCGAATTTCTTGTTGAATAAGAATTTTCTGCATTTTTAATCGCAAACTCGCTTAATTTTCACAGCAACTTTTAAATTCATTATCTTTTTCCATTATAATGCACATAATTATTTTTCCACCCACCGTAACTGACTCAAAAGTATTTATCTTTATCTTTAGTAATGCACTCACTTACATCAACATCAATCTTCAATTTTCTTCTTATAACGATGAGTAAAAAAATTAATTTTCTTAATGTAATGAACAGCAAAATTCATTTTGAATCATCTCATGGAAAAATGTAGCGAGAGATTGTATGAGTATGTGTGTGTGATCATAATTTTTTTTTAATCTATAGCGACATATCATGTTTTGTGAGGATGGAGTTAAGGATGGGAAGCTTAGAAAGGTAAGATTTTGTAAATACTTGATTAAATAGCTCTAGTTCTTGTAAAAAGTGTAAAATACAATTTTAAATTCCCAGCAAATATCAAATTATAGTGTCCATACCACAAACCATCTTCCTTCTCAATAACGAAGACAACGAACAAGAAAACGATGATGAAAAACTTTGACGTTCCATTATAAAAGAATTTTTTTTATTCAATTTCTTTTCTCGTTTGTTTTTACATAATAAAAATTAAAAAGCATTATTTCACAAAAAATAGTATCTTCTTCCTTCAGGTTGAAAACAGTTGAATAGGAAAAGTTTTTTTCCTGTTGTTCCTGCAGTTTTTGTTCTTATTTGAATTCATTCGTAATATGTAATTTTCCAAGTCATTCAGATGAGAAAACTGAGACGATCTTGAAAGTGCTTGGTTGTAATTTTTTTTGGTGGATCTGTGGCTCAGCTTTGACTTAAGGTGATTGAAATTTTGGGCTGCTTTTATTTTCGGGGGTCTCTGGCTCAATTTTGACTTAAAATGAATGAAATTTGATGCTGTTTTTATTCTTTGGGGGTCTGTGGTTTAGTTTTGACTTAAAATGATTGAAATTTGATGCTGTTTTTATTCTTTAGGGGTCTGTGGCTTAATTTTGACTTAAAATGAATGAAATTTGAGGCTTTTGTTATTTTTTGGGGGTCTTTGGCTTAATTTTTTAAATGTTTGTTGGATGTGTTCATTAAAAATGCGCTTCATCCCCAACTAAACCTCAAATTTCACACCACCATCCTACATTCTCGCTCAATTCTATTGCAAATTTCAGAAGAAAGGCAAACTGTATTGCTAATTTCAGAGATATGAATAGAATAAAGGAAAGTTCACAAAGGCAAAAGTCTTTCGTTACTATCTCAACTTCTACTCCTTCTTTAGAATTTAATATGCATGCATATATATGCACACACAAAGCGTTGTCTTTTTAAAACTCGTTTGTTGAGGTTATGGTTTCGACTTTTTTTTCATTCAAGCTTCTTTTACAATTTTAAACTTGTGATTTTTTTTAAAAAAAATTGTAAAGGTGAGAGCTTATTGAACGCGATTTTTTTAGGAGATTATTGTTTGAAAATTAATTTCTTTTTAATTTTAATTAAATTCAAAAACATGAATTTTCGCACTTTAATGAAAGGTTTTTGAAAATTATTTTCGAATTTTTTGCAAATTTAGAGTTCAAAATAATCTTTATCACAAAAATCCCGCTCATTTCCCCAATATATGTTCACCAAACACATCGTTATCTTATTCGGTTCTCAAAAGAATAAGAAACTGAGGAAAAGAAGAATAAAAAAATGAAACACTTTTCCATATAATTTTTCGTTATTGAAAAACTTTTCCGTTCTGGTGAAATGTAATTTATTTTGTTTTCCTTTTTTTTTGTCGAACTCAACCATACATGCATACATAAGATGAGTGGCTGGAAAATAAATGAAAGACGAAGAAGAAAATGAGACGAGATAGCAAGTAATTATAAAGTTTACAACGTATTTTGTTGGTAAACTGGTTTCGATATACAAAAAAGTGCGAAATTTTGATGAGAAAAAAAATTGTGTTTTTAATAGGCAGATAATAGCTGTAATTATGTCATGTTGGGAAGGAATTTGTTAAAAAATTGAATTTTTTTAAAGTTTTTTTTAAGATGTAGAGTTGAAAACCAATTTAAATTAAAGATATGATCATCGATTAATTCATTTTTCAAATTTCGAGCATTGTAAAATACCAAAAAGATATATTTTGAACTGATTCGCCACATTTTAAACTGATTCGCCATATTTTGAACCGATTCGCCACATTTTGAACCGATTCGCCATATTTTAAACCGATTCGCCATATTTTGAACCTATTCGCCATATTTTAAACCAATTCGTTATATATTTGAATACATATAAATACGCCTTTACTGTTCTTTAACTCTCCAAAGCTTTAAAAAAAACCAGCAAAATATTTTCCAACATGCCATTCATACACAAGTTCACATATTTTCTAGTTCCTCATAGTGAAATAACTGAAAAACTTTTTTTTTGCACTGTCTGCCACTACACACACCAGATATCTCAGCTTCGTTAAAGCTATTTACTTGTTTGCTCTCTAGACGACGTAAAGAGGAAGAAAAATGCAGCAATGTGACAGTTCTGTGGTGTTTAAAAATGGAAGTAGCAGAGTAGAAGAGAAAGTGCACGAAAAATTGTGATAAAGCTTATTGTAAACATGACATTTCTGTATTCTATGCTGTGAAAATTTACTCTACGCTTTTGGTAGTTTTTTAAAAAAATAAAAAGTTAAAGGAAAGTTTGTTCCATGGCAGGAGTGTTAATAGATGTGTGTAAATGAAGAGAAAAATGGTAGAAAAAAAATTTGCATTTTTAATAAAGGTTAAGTAAAGAGAAATGTGTGCAATCGTGTCTGGTAGAGTTAAAAAATTATTAAAATTTTATGAAGTTGGTGGATAGTTGAGGAGTTAAATTTGATTGCAGTTATGCAAGGATTTTGTATCAATTTCTAATGAGCGAGTGACGCGTTTTCGATGTTTGTAGTTGGTTTTTGACAGGTGATGGGTAAAGCTCATAAATCTCGAGCAGAATGTGGAAAAATGTAGAGTTAATAAGTACCTGAAGAGTATCATCAAGGTGTAGGGTCAAATCCACAACATTTTTTACATTCTAAATATGGCTTTTATTTATCCAACCATATTGCATTGCTTGCAAGCTGCAATTAAGTCATGAAATAGCAAACACATTCAGGATTGAAGAGCTAAATTCTCAGAGAATATCATTACATGAACCATTTATTGCATCCATCGAATTGAGATCATATAAAATTGAACTTAATATTCATAGATATTTGCAATGATTCCCAACGGGACATCCAATTTACATTGCAAAAACTGTTCATAAACTTCGTATTTTCATTTTATTTCAGTTTTATTTTTATTAATCTCAAACAGCTCATATTTTTCCCATAGTTTCTCCATCTTCTCATTTATTTATTCATCTCATATTTGAATTTGCTGTTTTTCTATCTCGTTTATTATTCATTTTAAGAGATTTTATTATGATGGACAGCGAGAAATTTTCATTTTATTTCTTATATTCCATTACAAATGTTAATTAATTTAAATCTGCTAATTGGATTTTCACTTTTGCTGGAAGCAGGGCTGGAAGAAATTATTTTTTAGAACGAATTTAAATTGAAAAATTAAAAAATCAAAAAATGTTACAAAATTTTGTGTCTATTATAATATATATAGTGTGAGGTTACGAGCTGTAAATGATACAATTTTACATAAAATTTAGACAGCAACGACTAATTTTGAGTCAAATTTAAAGCAGTGACTTATTTTTTGAGCCATACTTAAAGCAACGACTCATTTTTAATCAAATTTAAAGCAACGACTTACCATTGAGCCAAATTTAAAACATCAATTCAGTTTTCAGTTAAATATAAAGCAACAACTCACTTTTGATTTAAAATTTAAAAGCAGCAACTCATTTTTTATTCAAATTTAAAGTAACGACTCATTTTTGAGTTAAGTTTAAAGCAATGACTTACATTTGAATAAAATTTAAAGCAATGACTCAAGTTAGAATCAATAATTCATTTGAGCAGCTACATCAAAAGCATTTAATCTAAAATTAGAACCACACACAGCTCGTCATTACAATGAAAATAAAAAAAAGAAGAAACTTTTTTCCATGACCATAAAAAATTCATCCTCGCATTATTTCCTCATGCTCCTAAACTGTCCTAATGCCTCACATATTTTCCTATTCAATTGTTTTCCATGCACTGTGTCGAGTTCATTTATTAAAATCATTTCAGCTCGCTCGAGACACTTGATAGCATCCATTATAGTCTGTGGGATATTATTCAGCTGACGTCTATGCATTTCCACAATCGCATTAAATTTTTCATATAATATAACAGCCGTGTAAATGGCCAATCGAATATTATATGGATCTAATAGCATAACAATTTGAAGTAAATCGTCACAGAAGTGTAATTTTCGCTTGAGAAACTTCTCATCTATTGTCTCAATAGCATAATCACGATGATTGCCATACAATTGAATTAGTGTATGTTTCAATGTGAACATGTGATAATGATTTGGATGTAGAAACATTGAAAGTTTATCCATGAGTGTCTCAATAGCTGGAACAGTTGCTTCTCTTTCCATCGTATGATCAACTTCATCAGTCATTTTAACCAATAAATCTGCTATCTCTTCGCCATTTATACGTGCTGGACATTTTTCACATGCCCATTCACTCAACTCACCATAGAGTGGATTCATTGGAACTTGAATGCCATTGCATTCAACTCCGTCCAATCCAATGCATCTTAATGATGACAGATGAGAACCTAACTCGGTCGGATCGGAACATCTTGCACAGGAGCATGTAAAGTATTTCATATTTCTTAATTGTTGTTGTCGCATTAGTGTACCCCACATAATGTTACTATAACAGGTTGCGATATGTTCACCTTTCTTTATGTCACGTGCTGCACGCACCGTCAGCTTGAATCCATTTCTTTTATCAAATAAAAAGTGACAGTTTGGCACACATGAATGTTCTACGATACATCCGATGGCGTATAAACCTGAAAATAATAAGAATTTTGTATGTGAGAAGGAATATAGTAAGTTGAAAATTAGCAAAGCTTGCAAATGTCATCATCAATTTTAAACATGTGTCTTTTTGTGTGTGTTTCTTTTCCTTCGTACGAGTGAATTTACTGTGAAGAAGAAAGAACAGGAAGAGAAGAAGAGTGAACGGCGGAAGGCTTGAAAATTGAGAGAATTTTATATCTTGTGTAAATTAATTTTTTTACATGTAACTAGAGAAAATTACTCGTTGAGTTGATATTTTAGGTTTGTAACGGATTAAAATTTAAAAATTTAATGAACTTTGGCTGATTTTTCTTTGGGATAAGTTCAGTTTCAGAAAAATTTCAAGGGATAAATTTATTTTGCGATAAATAAAGTTGGATAAGTTCAGTTTTTTGAAAAATTCAGAAGAATGAGTTCACTTTAAGACAAAATCAAAAGGATAGGTTCAGTTTGAGACAAAACCAACAGGATAAGTTCAGTTTGAGACAAAATCAACAAAATATGTTCAGTTTGAGAATTAACAGGATATGTTTACTTTAAGATAAAATCAAAAGGATAAGTTAAGTTGGAGACAAAATTAAGGGGATAAGTTCAGTTTAAAAAAAAAAACGAACAGGATAAGTTTAGTTTGAGACAAAACAGGATACGTTCAGTTTGAGAAAAAATCAAAAAGATAAAAGGAAAAAAAATTCACACAAAAAGAAGGATACGTTCAGTTTTTTTTTTGAAAATTCAGAAGGATAAGTTCACGCTGAGACAATATCAAACGATAAGTACAATTAAAATCAGACTAAAACTAAGCCAACAATAAACATTTCTACTTTTTGTCTCTTAAAGTATTTCTTCGTCAACTCGTGAATTATACATTTATGTCCTCACAATTTAGACATCATCATGAAATTCATTCTCAGAAAAAAGAGCACTAACAGCTTTCATGATAAGACATCCTAACATCATCGCATAATCTTAGACAAAACATCACCGAAACAGCCATAATAATAAAGTTCAGTCACTCAAGGGCCATTAAAATTACAGCACAAAACAAATGACGAAAACAATATAACATCATACATTCATCCATATTACATAACAAGCATAAAAGTTATTTAAGCCTTACATTATGTTTAGCCTTAGACACGTTACCTGCTACTTCATTATTTGCTGTAAGATACACAGCATTAGTTTCAATGATGCCATAAATTTTTTGTAAAGTTTCACGATCTTTAAGCGGTAGTGAAAGTTTGTCCAACTTTTCCGCATCGTCTTTTGTTGGTTTTAGGAAATTTCTCTCCAAGTAATCAATCTGCTTGCTGGATTCACTGTAAATACATGAGAAAATGGGGAAAATTTTAAGCTGTTGTGGAGTGTGAGATTTGGTTTTGCGAGGGATGGACACTTGAAGGTAAATTTTTAATTCTTTGAAACCAGTAAAATTTGAATTTTTCAAAACCGTTAAATTTTAATTTCTTTGAATTTAAATTTTTAAAATTTTCCACTCCTTGCCTTAAAAAATTTATGCCCTATTTATTAGTCAGAAATTTTAAACGAAAAACTTTTCATTCATGCCAACATCTCTTACACAAAATTCAGCGTATCTTTACGGTCTTCAACATGCCCTTCCAACTGTATCAACTGTTCAAACTTTTTGGGATGACGTATCTTGAGCAGTAAGCATTTCATTGCAAAAAGAACATCTGTACGAAAGTAATCTCTTATGGCACTATAATCACTATCGCATTGTACGCCTAATCCACTTTTCAGGAATGAGCATTCGATGTCGTGTAATTTGGGATTATTTAAGCCTATACAATCATGTTTACAGCAGGGCCATTTGCACGATGGACAACGATGAGTAAGCATTCTTATGGGCTCAAAACATCCAACGCAATTGAACGTGCTGTTTGTTGTGAAGAGATCATAGCTCCAATCAGGTCCAATGACAAGTGGATTTTCGGTTAATATTACTGTCCCGGCACGAATGCCACGTGATGCTTCGATAAATCTGCCAAGTTTTTCGTTTGTTGAAATCTGAAACGATTGGAAAAGTGTGAGTCGAAATTGAGTTGTTTTTTGAGGAGTTGTGGATATCCTGCACCCAAATACTCACTTTATAAGCCTTGCAATTTGATTTGTGGACTTTCCAGTGCTTTTTTTGATGTTCTGCCGAACAATAAGACACTTCCTCACATGATGAGCAGATTTTTAAATTTTCACTCTCGTTACAGACTGCGCAACGATTTTGTATTTTCTTCGAGTCCATTATGTATGTATTAATAGCCTTTTAAGCTCAAAGTGCTTGAAATAATAAAGAATTAATTTTTATTGTAGTTTTTAATAAGCTAATGTATTAAGTTTTTAAGAACAATTTATTTTTTAAGAATTGAAAATGACTTGAATTAAAGTTCAAGTAAAAAAGAGATGAGCCTCTTGCTGCCGACTTAGATCTAGACAGACTGAAAAATTTTGTGTTCTAAAATGTCTATTAGCAGTGATTTGCTTTAACATTTTTTATGTTTTAGGGGTTCTAGCTTAAGTGAAGATTTCTGGTTTATTTTTGTCGAAAAAAAATTATTTATTTTATTCGGGGTTCAGTTTGCGCCAAATTCTAGCCTCATGTGACATAACCTTGCACTCTTGGAATTGTCGTAGCTTTTTAAAAAGAAAAGGGGGTCTTGTCAATAGACACGGGGATTCAACACTCATAATGGACTGGGACCTGCTTGATCTAAACTTGCCAGGGGCGAAGCCAGGAATTTGAAGAGGGGGGAAAAAAATTATTTTTTGCGTGGAAAACTTTTGGGGGGAGGGGGGGGGATTTTTTCGAGTTTTTCATAAAAATTCTAGCAAAATGAAGAAATTTCTCAAGACGAAAGGGGATTTGTCCCACAAATCCCCCCCTGGCTACGCGCCTGACTCTTGCTAAACCACTGAACTGTTCACAAACCATCGCCCGTTGAAAGTCTAAGCTCATAATATAGTTTGAGTACTAAAATATTCAGCAGAACCCCTAATAATGTGTAACTCTCTGACGTCATAAATCGTTACATATTCCACCTCTATATTCTAAATTATTTATTTATTTTCAAACCAGAAACATTTATGTCAAATCATTATTAGCTCGATGAGCAAGTCGCACGGTCAGACGTCTAAAGTATATCCCAAAATAAACATATTCGTATGAGCGAGAAAAGCTTAAGAAAATCTATTTTCGATGATGCATCTATGTGAATATTCGATGTGAGGCCCTTTCGCATGCAATTCTGCACTCATCAAATACGCGTGGCTCGCGTCAATCTTCTTTAGCTTCTTCTTTACTTTTGCATTCTTTTATGCCGAATGCATGCACGCTCGTTTTAAGAGAATTTTCATTTTGGCTATGCTTCATGAATTTTCTCGCAGTTTTTCTTCTTATTTTCTCTGTTTTATGTTTACATGCTGTGATGATCATGAGGATGCAAAATGTAAACGGAAAGCGATCAGCTTGGATTCCATTTTTAGATAATTTTTTTAATTTATGAGATTTCTTTCGGCTATAATTGTGTAGACAGTTGTCAATGAATTTCTTCTTTAGTAAATATTTATTTTAATCAGTGCAAAGTTTAATCCAGGGGTGTGCTGTAGATCGCTTTGATTTGATAAAAATGTTTTGATAGATGCGAGGTCGTTCACTTATTAGCAGGGTTTGCAGTGGCATGGATACACCTCCTTTGATGACAATTATGTCTGCAGTTCCAAAGTGAGGTAAGAGGGGTGGGAGATGGATTATTAATGAACTACGATCTGTATGCTATGTCAGTTTTTGTCATGTTTTACCACCATGAGAAATGGATTATTCATGAACTTCACCAGTGATGGCTAACCCGTGTGCCGCGGCACACCAGTGTACCGTGATTTTTTTTGGATATCCCACAAATCGTATGATATGTGCGATTTTGGTCTTGGCTCAACACCAAGTGTGCCGTGGTTCAAAAAAGGTTGGACACCACTGAACCACGCAATGGAGTTGCTTTACTTTACAAAATTCAACATCACAATTGAATAAATTTTGGATCTAATTTAATTTATAGAAAAATCAAACTCGCTCGCTTGTGATAAATTTCAAAAAATCTTTGATGACAATAAATTGCGACGAATCTCATTAAAATCTCAACAAGTATAGCTAATTGATCACAAAAACCCCATTATAATTTCAGACCTGTTGTTTTCACAGTCTATTAACTCTAAACTTAATTGAAATCAAGCAAACAAATGAAATTTTCTCAGCATAAATGCATGACAAATATTTTTTAAAATTTTCTTATAAGTAAAGACAATTTTCAAACGAAAGTTAATTTTCATTTCAAAGGAAAATTCAGAATATTTTATTAGAAATTGCAGCATAAATCATATTTTACGATGAAAAATGTGAGATGCTCATAACTAAGATTTCAACGAGGCATTTCCTATAAATCATTTATTTACTTTCTTAATACTTTTCATTGCACATAAGAGTGTTGTGGAAATGTCTATGAAAATAGAAAAAAATTATTTTCCATATCAAGACGCTTCTAATTCTATTTACAAACAAAAACTTAGAAAAACATACAATTTGTTTTTGCAAACTAGTCTTGTGTACATAATATATTGTTGTATATGCTATGAGCCGTATCAGACATCAAACTTTCCCCTCTATTTACAGAATCTATAAGCTTCCTATTGTCTGCACACGCACACCTGATGCATCTCACATCTCTCCTGCCTTTTTACATTAGAATAGGATTTTTTTGAATAGGAAATGCATTGAATGGAATTATTTTTAATACTTCTTAAAATGAAGTAGCAAAAAATCGAAAATTCCTGATTGTTGAGGATTTTTTTGATGAAAAGCTGAGAGTTTGACTAGCATTTTGAGTGACTAAGCGAGATGTCATGATACATTGAGTGCAAAAAAAATTCTGAATTGAGTGCGTTCAGTGACGAAATCTTCTGGCCAGAGTGCGTTTAGTACTTTAAGTCACAAAATGTGCTAAATTGTGTGTCTTCAGTGACAAAATCGTCTCAAAAAAGTGCGTTCAGTGACAGAATCGTCTCAAAAGGAGTGCGTTCAGTAACAGAATCGTCTCAAAAGAGGGCGTTCAATGATAAACTAGTCTCAAAAGTGAGCGTTTAATGGCAAATTTCTTTAAAATCTACAAAATATATCAAATGTAAACAAAATTCGCTTCCAGCATTCCCATCCCTAACAATTTCCAATACTTCCGCATATTTTTCTCAACAATAAAATCAGCCGAAAGAGGAAAAATCATGCTGTTGTTAAAAAGAAGGGACATTACTATGGTTACAAAATAAATTTAATCATCCCTCGTTAATGACCCTCGTTATATTTATAAAACCCCATATTTATGATTTAATACGTTTTATGTTCAATAGCTAGCTCACTATGAAGTTCAGTAAAACATCAAGTAATTTGAAGTGCCTCTATCACGTGCACAAGGCAAGGGATACAAAAGAAATAATAAGAAAAAGAAAAAAATTTACGTAGTCATGGATGAAATTGAAAAAATGCTAATTATAAATAGATTTCATACACAACTTAATTGTTTTCTGCTTCCATTCTTAGCCTTCCTTGTTACTCCGTTCAATTTCCTTCCATTTTCTTGTTGGCTCTTCCGTGTGACGTAACCGAAAATGAAAATTTATCGGAAAGGAAATAACAATTTTTTTCTTGTTTTCTTTTATCTTTCTCGCCTATTTTCATTTAATTTCAGCATGAATTGCAATAAGGAGGAATGAAAATCTTTTCTATTTAGCCGATAAGAGCAAATATTGTGGCAATTTAGGAATTTTTTTCTCTTTTGAAAATTTGACGCTTGAGTTAATCGCTGTTTAATGTAAGTATAAAGGAATGAAGGAAGATTTGGATGAGCGCGAGGAGATTGTGGATATGTTTTCAGGAGTTTAAGGGATAAGACGCAGTTTATTGTTTGGAACTGCTTATGTCAAGTTATATGTTAGCTCACTTTACTTGGTACTAGTCATATTAAGCTAGTTTGACTCTTACCTAGCTGAATTTAGCTAGCTTAACTCTTACCTGATTACATTGAGTTTATAGAACTATGAACTCTTAGATTCAAGGCAGTTGGACGTTAAGCTTTAAGATTTCCATTCTTTAATCACATCTTTGTCAATTATCAAATCCAATACACATAATATATTGCAAATTATCATCAAAACCTTCACATAATCATCAAAAACTACCCAATTCAGTCCCGAACTACAACTTATTTAATCTCAAATCCGATCTACCCAAGCTAATCGTCAAAATGATCAACAAACAAAAATTATTCATGCAATAAAAATGCTAAGAAGGGATAGAAGGAGAGAAAAATTTTTATTCACTGATAAAGCCATCAGCCTAGTGTCAATATCACATGAAAATAGAAAAGAAATGAAAGCAAATTTGAATTTTATGAGATTTTCTTTCCTCCCATGCCGTATGCCTTGGCTTAAGTTTACTTTTACGAAAATTTACGTTCTCAAATCGATTTGTGAGTGCGATTTTCTCATATTTACATTTTGTGTCTACTTGTGCATGCACAAAAGCTAGGATTTTTCTAAATTTTTTCATGATTATATTACAAAAATTTTCCCTTTTTAACTTTAATTTCGTGTTACTTTCGTCTTCCATGTTTCCCTCTTTCCGTATGCCCTTATCGAATGTAAACATCAAAGTTTTTTGTTATGTATCTTTATCTATCTATCCTTATACTTAATGTGTATATTTAGAGATGTGGGTAAACAAGAAATCTTTGGCGTGTGTCATGTGAATTGTGAATGAATTTTTATGAAAAGCAAGTTGAGGATTTATTTTGCTTGTTTTTACTCGCATATCCTCAAATCTTGTTCTTATTCTTTTGCTTACTCAAATTGAAATCTCTTTAATCATTATTTTCTTTTGCTGCTGCTGTTTGAGGAGGGGTGAAGTCAAGGGAGTATGGAGTGATTTGGTGTTTAGAGCGCAATTTTTTGACTTCTTAGGGAGCTTAATTTTTTATTGTAAACTTTATAATTATTGTTTTTTGACTTCTTATATTTGGAGATTTGAACCTCAATGCTAGAATTTTTGATAATTTTATTTAACCCCCAATTTTCGGATATGAACACAAATCCTAGGATTTTTTAAAATTTTCTTTCTGAATCTACAACGTGTGTGTGAAGTCAGCGGGAACAGGTTCTCAGATCGAGTTGAAACTTTGTCAGAATTACGTCCATTACACTAGGTTTTGAACTCGAATACTAGAATTTATGACAGTATCATTTTAAAACTTAACTTTAGGATTTGAACCCAGAGAAACCCAAATTTTTAATAATCTTCAGTTTAACAGCAAAATTTGGGATTCGAACTGCTGTAAAGTCATTATAAATAGTCTTAATTTGAATCTTTATCACCAGAAGTTTTCAGACACACCACCAAAATAAGAACAAATCAAGAAATGCTCTCAAAAAAATAATCTACAAAAAGTTCAACATTTCCAATAAAAGTAAGTGATGAAAAAAAAAGAAAATTTCCTTTACTCAATGCAATTATTCCTCGCCGAGTGTTCTTCAAATGTAATCAAAATAAAATTGTTGAAGAAGTGGAATTAAACATTTCCTTTTACAAACAAAAATAAAAAAGTAAAGAAAGTTGAAAGAGGATGAACAAATGAGTTTCATGTTTAAATAATCCATCGCGCACTTATTCAGTGTAAATAGTGATTAAATAAAGTTATTACTTTATATTGATGCGATTTTGTATTAAATATTTGATAAACTGTTCAAATATTGATGCATGGAAGTAGGAATGATGTTTTTGGTATGAGGAATGTTTGTTCATTTATTTATTTGGATTAGATGGAATTTATGAATTTATAAATGGATTAATTGCAGTGATATCAGAAAAATTGTAGAGTTGAGTTATGGAAAACTTGAAAGAATAACTTGTAAAATAATAAAATATGGGTTCAAACCCTAAACATTTAAATGATTTTTGTTTTCAATATATCTTTTTTTTTGGAAGGGCTCTAAAGACTTTTTTGTATGAAATTTAATTTTTTTTAAAAAAAACACCATTTATGATTAACCCCCAAAAAAATTATTCCTTGGCAACAACCTCAAAAATTATTTCATTGAACTAATTATTTCATTCCAAAAAAGCACAAGTCTGCAAAATTGAAAAGAAATTTCACATTTTGAGCTCAAAGAAAAACTTAAGAAATTATTCGTTCATCAGCCAAGTAGCTAAAAGGCTGTCAACCCCAGACATTTAAAAGTTTTCTCCTTTTTTTTCTTAACGAAAAATTTTCTGTTAAAAAATTAAACGAATGAAGAAAAAAAAAATTAATCTGTCACCGTTGAAAGGACGGAAAAGGAAGTCTGTTCTTATTGCAAATGTAGACTTTGAACAAATTTTTTTCTTCTCATTGAAAAAATTGTTGCAAGTAAAAAAGAATAACTGAGCTATTCAGTCATTTAAATGTTGAATAAAGCTATCTTTTGCTTTTTTTTTTGTTCATACACGTCACAGTTTCGCCTTTCATAGATTATTTTAAACTATTCATGTCTAAAAATCTGATGCAGTTGAAATTAAATATAAAAGAGAGAGGAAAATAATTTTTTAACTGAGCTATTGCGTTGTTATGAGATAACCTTGTAAAGAATTTGAGAGAATTTGAATTTAAAATCAAGTTTGGGCAACGCTTCAAATGAAAGTGAGTCAAAGCTTTATACTAGATAAAGATTTAAACTCTTAAGTCAACGCTTTAAATTCATCTTAGTCAAAGTCTTAAATTTAGTAAAGTCATCGCTTTAAATTTAACGAAACCAAAGCTTTAAGCTCGTCAAAGTCATCACTTTAAATCCAACAAAGTCAATGCTTTAGACTTAGCTAAGTCAACACTTTAAATTCAGTAAAGTCAATGCTTTAATTTCTGTTAAATCAATGCTTCAATTTAGTTAAGTCAACGCTTTAAATTGAACAATGTTTATGCTTTAAATCCAGAAACAATTCAAATTCAGTTAAGTCAACGTCTTAAATTCAGCCAATTCTCGCTTTAGCTTCAGCTTAAGCAATTTTTAATCTTCACTAAACTCTGACTAACTCAACCAAAGGATTCCAGATGAAAAAGGCTTTGACTTCAAAAACAGGGGGGAAAATTGTTGAAGAGAAAAGATGAAAAAAGTCTTAAAAGGTTTCACTCTATAAAAAATTTCATATTTTTTTCTCCTTCAATGTGATGAAGACGATGATGGTGATTATAGTGGTTCTGAAAGAGCATTTTTGTGGCTTTTCAGTCAATGAGATTTTTTTTCTCTAAAAAGGATGAAAGGAACTAATTTCTGATTTTAACTTATTTTATCCTTCTTCAGTTTTTGCTTCTCCTTTCTTGTGGCTTTGCTATGCTTTGTGCTATGATTGAGATTTTTTTTTGTACATGATGAACTAGTTTTGTAGTTTTTTGGATGGAAATTTTGTTCAAAATGATTTTTTTTTCATTATAAAGTTATGAAGCATGTATGGGAGAAGTGGAAGGGGAGGAGGAGGTGATTATTAAAATAATGGAACGATTGTCAAACGATCATCAATGTTATATAGCGTGAAATCAGTAAAACATTCAATTTTATTTTTTTTGGCAATTGACGAATTAAAATCAATTATATTTTAATTTTGGGACACATTAAAAAATTTATTTATTTTGCTCATTATTATCTGAAAATATTTTTAAAAATCTTCAAAATCAAGATAATGTCATATTGTAAAAGTGTTACAAAAGAGTGCTAAACGGGAATTTATTTTTTATTACTTGAAATGCTTTTTGCAGTGCCAGTTGCATTTCTGACAATTTTATTTTCAACATCCAATGCATATGTAAGAAAAATTCAAATTTTAATGCTTATACACATGAAAAAATTAAAATTAAGTTTTGCAGAAGGTATACAAAAGCAAATTGTGATCCAAAAGTGTCAAAATATTTGAATTTCACAATTTGTAAGGTTGTTGCAGTTTCACGTGAGACAAAACTTCTCCAAATCGATGCAGAAATTTTAAAGCCGATACCAAAAGTAAAGGTGAGATCAATCAATTAAGATTTTAATCAATCTACAAAAAAATCTAATTTTTAAGGTCACCCTTGAAATCCTCTACAAAATATCAGGTTTTAGAAATTTTCACCAATTTGTCATCATTAAGGACGTCGATATTTGCAATTTATTCAAAACAGCCAATGAAAAACCAATTATTTTCTTTACCGATTGCATGCAAGTTGCACCAGGAATTTGTCATCAATGTCCTTATACTGGAAGTTTAAAATATAACAGTTCATTTACTTATGATCAATATTGTCCTAAAATGGGAGATTCACGTAATCCGATGCTTGAAACTTTTTCATTTTGGCCTGATGGTGAATATAAGCATATAGTCACTATTGTGATTCCTAACAATGAAGTTGTAGTTGTGACTTTTTATATAAATATAAAAACTGGAAGTCAATCAGAGTTTTAAAGCTATTTTGTGGATTAGGTCCTCCGTCCTTATGATGTAAGACTTATAAACCGACAGAAGATTTATTTAAAGTAAGTAAGTTACCGTTTACTTATGACGTGCAGGGGGGGGGTGTTTAGCAAGAAAAGAGAAAAGAACAATAGAAATTCCAGGAAATCCATTGCTGTTTTTTGCCGTTACCGTTAAGTTTGGACGTCATAAGTGAACGATCCCTAAAGTGTAAAGTAGTCATTAAATTCTTAAATTTGCTAAAGAAAAATTCAAAATTTCTACTCCAAATTTCCCAGCACCTTCTCCATCTCTCGAGTAATTTCTGACTACGCTTGACATGCACAATTATTTAAAACAATTATTATTTTCATTTACTAACGAGTTTGGCCCAATTTTACCTTTTGTTGTGTGAATTTCTGTCAAATTATATTTTGTATCGGAAGTTCTCATATTTATCAGCTTCGTTATAATCGTTTATCGTATTCGAGCCTATAAATTGGCTTAGTTTAATACATGATTGTGCATAAAAATTTAATAAAACACGAAAAATAATAAAAAAGATTTTTTTGTTTAATCTAATGACAGTTTTATATGTTTCAATAGGTCCACAAACATGCCCATTAAATTTATAGCAAATATAGTAATTGCGTCACTCCGTAATTACATTTTCATGCACGAAAATTTCAATATTTTCTTGGCATTAAAGCAAATCAAATTTCCCTGTGCTGTGCGTAAAGAATAAGAAGGAAAAATATTTACAAATCGTTATTTCCTTCGTTTCTCGCCTTCTTATTATTTTATTAAACAATTTTTTGTGCTCTGCAATAATGATGGAGTGAGGAAAATGTGAGGAAATAGGTAAAAAGTAGTGAATTTTGTGAAATGTTTAGCTTTAATGTGGAGCTTAATTTTTTCTGTAGCTTCGCTTTAGTTTTGACTGGACCTTCGCTTAAATTTTGACTGAAGCTTCGCTTTAATTTTGACTGAAGCTTCACTTTAATTTTGACTGAAGGTACGCTTTAATTTTGACTGAAACTTCACTTTTATTTTGACAGAAGCTACGCTTTAATTTTGACTGAAGCTTCGCTTTAATTTTGACTGAACCTTCACTTTAATTTTCACTGAACCTTGGCATAAATTTTGACTGAAGCTTCGCTCTAATTTTGACTGAATCTTCGCTTTAATTTTAACAGAAGCTTCACTTTTATTTTGACAGAAGCTTCGCTTTAATTTTGACTGAAGCTTCACTTTAATTTTGACTGAAACTTCACTTTAATCTTGACTGAATCTTCACTTCATTTTTGACTGAAGCTTCGCTTTAATTTTGACTAAAGCTTCGCTTTTATTTTGACTGAAGCTTCACTTTAATTTTGACTGAATCTTCGGTTTAATTTTGACAGAAGCTTCACTTTACTTTTGACTGAAGCTTCACTTTAATTTTCACTGAACCTTCGCATAAATTTTGACTAAAGCTTCGCTCTAATTTTGACTGAATCTTCGCTTTAATTTTAACAGAAGCTTCACTTTTATTTTGACAGAAGCTTCGCTTTAATTTTGACTGAAGCTTTACTTTAATTTTGACTGAAACTTCGCTTTAATTTGACTGAAGCTTCGCTTTAATTTTGACTGAAGCTTCACTTTAATTTTCACTGAACCTTCGCATAAATTTTGACTGAAGCTTCACTTTAATTTTGACTGAAGCTTCGCTTTAATTTTGACTGAAGCTTCACTTTAATTTTGACTGAAGCTTCGCTTTAATCTTGACTGAATCTTCACTTCATTTTTGACTGAAGCTTCGCTTTAATTTTGATTGAATCTACGCTTTAATTTTACTGAAGCTTCGTTTTAATTTGACTGAAACTTTACTTTAACTTTTTGCAAACTTAAAGTCTTCTTTTAGCAAAATCACCATAAAACTTTGTAAAAGTAACGCCTTGTTAATCAACTTTATTCTCCCACTTTCTACTTCAAAAACAGCATATTAAGTAAGTAGAAAAGAAATAACGATGCTAATAATCACAAAAAATTGTTTTTCCTTACGATTTACATTTCTACGATATTTTACTTTATTTATTTTTGGGGAGAGTGACTCGATAAAACTAGGTTAGTGATGTTTATGCTGTTGATTGTCCAATTTTATTAAATGATTATTATTTCCATTATAAAAAATATGTGCAAGAAAAGTTTTTCTTCAATTTTTGTGCTGTAGAACATTGCATAAAATTTTAAATGAGGCAAAAAAAGTGCGCAGCACAAAATTAATTAAGAAAATGTTGCTGTAGGATGACATTAATCAGTTGTGAATATAATTTTTCATAACTTTTTGCCTAAAACATTTTCTCGTCGCTTTCAATTTTCATAATTTCCGGGCTTTTTGTGCAATTTTTGAGAAATGAAGATGGTAGGAAAATTTGTCAGAAGAAAGTTTTATGCAATGGAACTAGAAAGTCAATTATCTGACTTAATGGCTAGTAAAAATGCGAGAAAAATATTTAAAAAAATTTATAAAAAAATTATTAAATTCATCAAAAATTTAAATTCATCAAAAATTCAAAATATTCAAAAATTCAATATAAAAATCTTCAAAAATGCGCTTTATTTTTTTAAATCTTTTTCTATATGAAATTTTCATCATTTATTTGAATTTAATGGAAAATGAATGAAAAAAAAAGAAATTTTCCATCATGCATTTCACATTTTCTTTTTTCATCTACAAAAACTGTCGCAATGAATTTTCTATCATAAAAGATGAATTTTACCTGTGCAGGCTTTTCAAGATTTAATTTTGTTTTCACATCTTGATGACTTTAATTGTGCTTAATTTGATTTAATAGCTCATTTTTTACGAGATAATGTTCAGCTTGTTATTTAATGAGAAGTTTGTGAGTTGGAAATTTTTCGGAAATATTATTTTTGATAGTTTGAAGGAAAGGCTTGTTAGTAAATTGGTTGAATGAATAATTGAGAGAATAAGTTGCTAAAAAATCTATATTTGAATAAAAGTGATGATAAAGTGGGTAATTGGAGCGATTTTGTCGTCATTTGAGGATCTTATTTGACAATTTAATTACTCGACAATCTTGAAAAAATTGGACTTTTTACATTTCAACAATTCAACAACATTGCATCCACGACCAGTAAAAATCAAAACAAAAATCATACCCAAAACTGTAATTTTTATCATTCCGCACAACAAACAACAAAGCCCATCATATAAAATATAATAAAAATGTAATTTAATATTTTTGCAGCAAAGCTGACATAATTAGCATTGACATGAAACGAATTGGTGGTATTTATAGCTATGAAATGTTTTTTTTTTATTCCTCAACATAGCGTAACAGGCGGCAGATTAATAAAAAAATTACATCCCTCGCATGCCACGCACTTGTCCATAATTTTTTATGATGCCAAAGAATAAAAAAAAATTTATTTATTGTACTGTAATTGTATAAATGTCATTAGATGCCGAAATATTTTTTTATTGCATATCATCCCTATATCTCTGGTATGTTTTTACTTTCCACATTTCACGCTGCACAACTTTCACTTTTGCTGCCGGCTTCTCGTAATGAATTTTTTCTCGTTCCTCCTTAGTTGAATGTTATTGAAGTTAATTTTTCATTCTCACTCTCCCTTTATTTCGACTTCTTCGTTTTGCAAATGAATTTGATGATGTTGGTGTTGTTGTGATGACAATTTAGCAGGGTTGGGAATCTAGTGAGAACACATGATGTATTAGTTATGTCTAGGGGCGATATGAAAATCAAAATTACTCACTGTAGGGAGGGTAAACAGGTGTATTGTGAGGGACGTAGCCAGAAGAGGAGGGGGGAAGGGGATGCCCAAAAATTTTTTTGTCACAAATTTAAATAAAATTAAATAAAATTCAATCTTAAAAGGAGGTGCCCGGGCACCTAAAGCCCCCCTGGCTACGTTTATGGATCATTGTTATCAGGCCATTGGGGGTCCTGATTATTTTGTACAGACTCAGATAAATATGCTCGGTCGAAGATTTTGTAGCACTTTTTGGAAAACTGTAAAATTCAACGTTTTATTGCTCAGATAACAACTTCTGGGGCTAGTTTCTTGGGCTTTCCAGGACAACTTAAAATAAGGAATATTTAAAATAATAATTAATGAGCAAAATTTATCTGAGACTAGGATTGAGTGCCTGAGATAGCCCGAGAAATCGGTCCTAGCTCAGAACAGGAAAGAGATGCAAATAATCTACATGGATCTTATGCTTATTCATCTTAATTAAAATCTAGAATTGTCAAACCAGCCAATAACTAAGAAACCAACATATTCCATCTCTGTCAAAATTCTCCTATTTATTTCCCTATTGTTCAAGAAACTGTTACATCGACATCGTATAAATTATCATCGTCACTGTAGTGTATCTAGGGAATTGGAAAGGAATGCAATGATTCATTTATACGGTAAATATTTCATTAGATTCAGAAGATTATAAGTTTAATATTAAAAAAAAATCTGACAAATGTTTGGAAATGAACTCTAAGGACCTTCACTTCTCATTTATTGCCATACAATGATGTTCATTCTTTCCATTTCATTATTTTTGGCTAAAGAAGAATTTTTATGAATTTTTTTTCTTTTATTCTTTAAGGGAGAAGTGAAAGGAATGGAACCGACATTATTATATAAATAATGCAGAAGATAAAAAAAAATTTCCATAGAAAATTCTTAGAATATTTTGGCTATTATTAAGGATAATTGCGATAAATGAATATGTTTGTTGAATAAGAAGGAATGAGATGAGTTTATTGCACATTCTTGAGTGGATTTAGATGTTTTTTGTAGAAATTAATTTAATAAAAAAAGTTGTGGATTTGTTGTTCGATGAAAGCGGGGAAGGTAGCTGGACTTTATGTTGATTTGAAGCTGTGTCACACGCTTTAGCAATTAAACTTCTGTATGACAATTTTGTTGCCAATAATAATGTGAGAGGGTTCCAGCCAAGCGATGTGTTACTAAACGTTGTGACA